CAAAATCACGTTTTTTATTATATTGATTCCCAGTGCTTTCAAGCCTCCGTGGCACAATCGGTTAGCGCGTTCGGCTGTTAACCGAAAGGTTGGTGGTTCGAGCCCACCCGGGGGCGCAGATTTTGGTGGTAGAACTGTCTCTCTATAGTAACAAATATAATCTACAATTAAGTTTGTATTTGTAAGTTCACGTCTAGATATCAAACAGAAAATTGGAAAACCTTTTTATGGCGTCTCGTCGATACATCATTAAAGGCCTTGAATATGTTTACAATGTAACTCATCGTTATTTTCGCCCCTTTGTACAGTTATCACTGGACTGCAGGAGATGGGATGAGAACTTCCCAAATGTTAGAATATCCCAGCGCTTTTTGCCTCAATCTTTTTGTCTGAACATTGTCCATTCGTTCTAGCGTTTCGACCTTGAAACGAGTTGCTTTCAGTTTGATTTTATTTTCTCATTTTCCAAAGTTCATTTTCCTTTTACACTTCGAAATCAGTTGTTATAAAGTAACTGTTTTTTTTTAATGTAATGTGTGAATGGTTGAATCGATAAGTTACATCTGCCACGGAGAAGGTTTTTATTTTTTTAGAAAAACAGCGAAAGCCAAAGAAAAAAAATTATCTGGTGTATAACCGGTCAACAGCTGCCACTTCTTTAGCCGTGAGATTAGACGCATATATCTAAGGTACTCTGCTGCACGTGCTTTCCAACAGTATCCCACCAACGCTTCAAACACGTTAAACAACCACCCAGGTATGTAATGGCTTTCCTTCCTCTCTGGATCACTTTATGAAGGAAAAATGTACCCACTGTATGAATGGCCTTAAACATTGTTGTTGCGAAGCTATGCTTTTTAAACGTCACTTAAATAAACACTTGAGATCTCTGAACTAGATAGGTTAACTAGATCAACTTATTAAGCAATGTTCCTTTTAATGATTCGAACAGTGTACTTGGATCCCCCACTTTGGTTACTAATATCCTTTGAACCGATTCAGAAAACGTGACTGTATATGCCATTCATGATACTCATGTCCCTCGCACTGATTTTAGAAATGTGATTGCCCCCCCCCCCTCTCTTGCTGCTAATGTCTTTTGCACTGATTCTTGAAGGGTAAAATGATCTCCCATTTCCCCGCAGGATGTCAATTCCTTCCCAGATGAAGTGCTTGCTGAAGGAAACGGAGAAAGAAGGATATGACTTGGTAACCCGACCTGTGCCCAAGGCCGGTCCTGGTGACGTCATCATCAAGGTTGATAAGGTTGGGTCATTCATTTGTTTTTAGTGAAGAAGAAGGAGAGAGAGTGAGAGTGAGAGAGAGAGAGAAAGAAAGAAATAGAGAGGGAGAGAGAGAGAGAGAGAGAGAGAGAGAGAGAGAGAGAGAGAGAGAGAGAGAGAGAGAGAGAGAGAGAGAGAGAGAATGAGAGTGAGAATGAGAATGAGAATGAGAATGAGAATGATAATGAGAGTGAGAGAGAGAGAGAGTGAGTGAGTGAGTAAATGAGAGAGAAACAGACAGACAGACAGACACGGAGGGAAGAGGAAGAAGGAGAGGGAGAGGGAGACTGAATGGGTGGAAGAGAGAGAGAGGAGGGATGGGAAAGAGAAAGAGAAAGAAAGAAAGAAAAAAAAAAAGAGTTCAGCAGGGAAGAGACAAGAAAACACTTGTACATCCCTAAGGAGTTTAATTCAAGTAGTTCCATACAACACTATTCTCAATCGCTTTCCTAGGTTTTAGCATGTTTTTACATTAGCAAGCATATTGAGGGTAACCTGACTATCCTGCACAATCAGAAATCAAGAAGCACACGAGAACCAATTTATTTACTCTAGAGGAATTGCTTTTTTGATGAACATGCAATCACTTCAGCAGTAACATATACTGTGCAGTGAAAAAAAAAAGAATAACTGCCGTTTACGTCATTCATGTTACTGTATACTGCCTGCTGTTTTTTTCAGGTAAGACTGTGGTATTTCATCGATCTTCCTTTTATATCGTTAATGGAATTAAATATATGGAGAGAAAGGGAATTCAGTCAAGATGCTTCTAGTACCCAGAGAATACCCTCACACACGCACACACACACACACAACACACACACACAGAAAGAGAGAGAAAGAGAGAGAAAGAGAGAGAAAGAGAGAGAAAGAGAGAGAAAGAGAGAGAAAGAGAGAGAAAGAGAGAGAGAGAGAGAGAGAGAGAGAGAGAGAGAGAGAGAGAGAGAGAGAGAGAGAGAGAGAGAGAGAGAGGTGAAGAAAGGAAAAAAAAGGGTTAAATCCAAATAAGAAAGAGGAAGATGATTTTACCCTGACTATGGAGACGAATGACCTTGAAATAGATAAATAGATAATCACATTATATCTCGTCCATCCTCTATTCTCTTTACACGAAAAAATTGTGAGAAAGACCATATATTCTGAGTAATACAACAGACTGTTCATGTAATACAACTGATTGTTCATGTAATACAACTGATTGTTCATGAGTAATACAACTGATTGTTCATGTAATACAACTGATTGTTCATGAGTAATACAACTGATTGTTCATGTAATACAACTGATTGTTCATGAGTAATACAACTGATTGTTCATGAGTAATACAACTGATTGTTCATGAGTAATACAACAGACTGTTCATGTAATACAACTGATTGTTCATGAGTAATACAACTGATTGTTCATGAGTAATACAACTGATTGTTCATGAGTAATACAACAGACTGTTCATGTAATACAACTGATTGTTCATGTAATACAACTGATTGTTCATGTAATACAACTGATTGTTCATGAGTAATACAACTGATTGTTCATGTAATACAACTGATTGTTCATGAGTAATACAACTGATTGTTCATGAGTAATACAACTGATTGTTCATGAGTAATACAACAGACTGTTCATGTAATACAACTGATTGTTCATGTAATACAACTGATTGTTCATGTAATACAACTGATTGTTCATGAGTAATACAAGTGATTGTTCATGAATAATGCAACTGATTGTTCATGAATAATACAACTAATTGTTCATGAATAATACAACTGATTGTTCATGAATAATGCAGCTGATTGTATTGCATATGTTGCAGGTATCGATATGTGGCTCGGATATCAACCTCTGGAAATGGAATGATATTGCACAGGTTATTGCAACAATTCCCTTTATACCAGGTCAGTTGAGGTTAATTATCACATTGCAATTTGCAGATACTCCGCATGTTATGATATTGCGTCTAAATCATGAACCTGTTTATAAATATTTTCGATATATATATTTTTTTTCTTTTTCTTTCTTTTTCTTCCTCTTCTTCTTTCTCTTCTTCTTCTTCTTCCTCTTCCTCTTCTTTAATACTCAGCCAGCCAAATGCTCTTCTAATGTATCAGACTCGACATAAAAAAATAAAATAAAATAAAAAGATATATTACCTTTTAACGAAAATATTCCTTGTCCACAAAACCCCGAAGGTCACGAGGCAACCGGCGTCGTGGTGGCGGTGGGCGAAGGCGTGACGGAGGTGCGTCTCGGGCAGCGGGTGGCGGTGGAAAATCATTTCTTCTGCGGCCTGTGTTACCAGTGCAAAGTAAGCCTCCTTGTCGACTATGTGGGATGAAGGGGGTGTGGTTTTCCATGTTATTAGTGCGCTATTTGCTGTTGTTGATAATTAGAAGGATGAGGAAAGAGGATAGTTATTTCTGGCATAATTTTCTGCCCTGTTGATACCCCATTCTCGAATACTATTCCCGGGAATGGCACTAACATTTTCTGTCCCCATTCCCAAATACCATCCCCCAATAAATAACATCTGTTATCATCCCTCTGATCCCTCATTCTCCCATGCCGCCCCTAGGAAGCGCGGGGGGACATCTGCCAGCGCATGGACCAGTATGGACACGGGAGAGGAACAGACCAGGGCGGCTGCTGTCAGTTCTCGCGCGTCCCTGCTCGCTTCTGCTACGTCCTCACCCGCGACCTGACCCCTGACCAGGCCGTTCTTCTCGAGCCGATGGGTAGGGCGTACGATTCCCTTTCTTGGCTGTCATTTTTGGGTTTTGCTGTTAAGCGTTAGTGGAGAAGGTACCTCAGATGTTATCCTTGAAATTATATTAGCTGTTGCCCACGAATATAGATGTGGATAATATTGATAATGAGAATGATGATGCTAATTTTAAGTAGAGCCATGTTTAGGGATTATGAGATAATGTCTTTGTTTATTTATGTATATTATTTTCCCCTTTCTCAGTTTCTCTGTATATATACTGTATATAGCCTATCCCCTTCCTAAAAAGCAAGCCCCGAAACTCCAAGGTCATCCTCCCCAAAAAGTGCCCTGAAAAAAGGTCACACCCCTAAAAAAACGTGTCCCTAAAAATGTCACCTCCCTGTAGGACGATTAATGGAAGTTGCTCTCCCTTTCCCCTTCCATCAGGAGTTGCCCACAATGCCGTTGACAACATCGACGTCAAGGGTGAAGATGTGCTGGTACTTGGCTGCGGTCCCGTCGGCCTCTTCGCCATCGCCGTGGCCAGGGCGCTCGGTCTGTCTTCTTGAATATTTATATATTATTTATTAATCTCTTCTTTGTATCTTATTATCATAATCACCAGTACGTACAACTGTTATGGTTAATTACTTCATCTCAACATTTCTACCTGTGTTGCCTTCCCCAAGGTGCCCGGGCAGTTTATGGCGTGGACATATCCCCAGCACGACTCGAGCTGGCCAAGCAGATGGGTGCCACTCGCGTCATCAATGGTGCCAAGGTGTGTGTGTGTGTGTGTGTGTGTGTGTGTGTGTGTGTGTGTGTGTGTGTGTGTGTGTGTGTGTGTGTGTGTGTGTGTGTGTGTGTGTGTGTGTGTGCGTGTGTGTGCGCGCACGCCTCCCCACGTAGGTGCGTAAGTGTTTGCGTGCATGCGCGCGCTCACCTCCAATACCATGGCTGTAACGGCTTTAAACATTTCCTTATGATAGTTTACTATTTCACAGTCCCTACATACTGTATTGTCTTGTACTAGAAATGGGGGCTTGGAGACAGTGAGTAGCAAATGCATATTTGTTCGTACTTGAGCGCATAGAAAATGAAAATGCAAACCCAAGAAAGTCTAGTATTCACCAACGTCTTTTTTTCCCCTCAGGAGGACATCAAGTCGACCGTGATGTCCCTCAGCGACAACAACGGCGTCGGTCGCATCGTCGAGGCCAGCGGCGCCGCCTCGCTCCTCAACCAGTCATTCTCATGGCTGAGGAAGGTACAACGCAGCCCGTTTTCAGTCGTTTTGTCGGTGTTTTGAGTGGGCGTGAGGGTGGGGGCGGGGAGGCGATATCCAGGTTTGGTCTTCAGAATGACCACTATGTTTTCTTCTTCTTCTTCTTCTTCTTCTTCTTTTCCTTTTCTTCTTTTTTTCTTCTTCTTCTTCCATATTAAGCTCTACCACTTGGGATGGACTTGAAGTGCGGAAATTTAGGGTTAATCGATAGTGTTGAGTGTTTAGTTTTTACTTCCTGGGCCTATGTATTGTTTATATTACTCTACAGTTTCCCAGCTAAGCCCCATGCTCTCCTCACCTCATGTATTTACAAATTCACAAATTACCGGATCATTGCATAACTAATTACTATCAATTTGGACCAATCCGTCAGAAATTCATTGTAATTTACTTTTATGATCACATTTATTCTTTCCTTTTTTCAGGGCGGACAGATGGCGCTGATAGGCTTACCTAAAGCACCTCTGCATGTGGAGAATGTCCTGACCGATGTTGTCTTTAAATCCCTGACTCTCAAGACTGTTCACGGGCGAAGGTATAATTAGTGTTTTAACTTTTTCCCACCTACTATATAGAAAAGCCTTCCTGAATGGTAATGAAAGATAACTTATACCCATCTTTCACGCCTATTCTGTTTCCCATTACTATCTAGATTTAATTCCATTTCCCTTTTTTGGACAGTTATTTCGTCAGTTCTAATTTCCTGTTTTGTTTCTCTCTCCAGACTATTTCCTCTCTGTTTCTTTTTCATTAGCACAAAAGCTTCATTTAGTGTGCCTTTATCTTACATCTGTGTCGCCCTTTTAGTATCAACTTTTTTTGCCAGTTCTGTTTTTTACATTTCACTTTTCTGTTGTACATCCACATAGTCAAATTGATTATGTTTTCCTCTGTGTGACTTATCTAGCATGCCCTTCTACAAAGGTCCTTCCTAATTAATTTAACTCTTCTGTCATCTTTAAATCTCCGTGTGTTTTTCTACCTTTTCCACTTGCATATTATTTGTGATTTTCCCCTTCCTCCCATTTCCACTTTGCTGAAGACTTTCATGAACTCCTCTTTCCCATTTTCCACCCTTCTCTTGGATATTTTTTTTCACCAACTTCTTCTTATCCTCTGCCTGTGTACATTTCCATCATCTTCTGCTATTCTTCCCCACAGGATCTTCCGCACCTGGCAAGAGTGCGAGAGGCTCCTGGCTGATGGTCTGGTGGATGTGGCCCCAGTAATTTCCCATAGCCTCCCCATGAGCCAGTTCGAACATGCATTTCGCGAACTCTTGAGTGGTGATGCATGCAAGATTATCCTCGATCCTCAAAACTGATTGTTCAGGCATTTATCAATAAAGAATACACACAGAAGTTACAGGAATATTACTATTAACCGATGCTTCCACTCCCTGGCTCTGTACCTTTGTCCTCCATTTGACTGATCATGTATTAGAAGTATGTAGCCCTGGTATTTATTGCTCCACCAAAGAGTTACTACTCTAAAATAAAGAACACATAAATAAATTAACTGGTTGTTTTTGTTCAGTATCACTAATCAAAATCTGGAGATCTGTAATTTTAGTTTTTAATAGAATACAAGACTCAGGATAGAGAGGGGATTCAAAAAGTTAATGCCCAATAAAAGTATTATCTGTATTGTTAAAAAATGGAAAGCCACTTTAGATCACTTTTCAGTACATGATGATAAGAATGTCCATATATTCTTCAGCTTCTGATATGTTTTGACAATATGAAGTCCATAATCTAAAAGATAATTTGGTGAGTGTTACCTGAAGAATACGCAAAGTGAATGCTCTTTAACAATGCAACTATCTGTTTTTCTTACCAGGAAAAACATAGCAAGGGATATTGATATGTACCACTAACTGCATTTAGGTAAGTTACTTTTAATTAATAATTTGACTGAGTGACATCACGATTTTAATTTGTTTCTTCCTGATTGTGAAATTCATCTGCCAAAAATAGTACTGTACCATCATTTATTTGTTTAGGATTGATTACATGTGACTGACACTACCCTGATAGCTGACAAAAAGATTAAACTTCCATTAAGGGGAATCAGTACCTCCAATAATAAATTTTCATCGTAACAAATAGAGAAAAAATAACACATGGCCATATTAAAACATTAATTACATATATTGTATTGCAGATTTATTCAGTCTTTTTAATGCCTTTAATATGCTATTATAAATGTTAATTTTGCTAAAACCACAATCCAGGAACAACAGAAAACTGGATTATAGATGTTATATGCTTATTTGAGTCTGCCATTTTGTTTATTAATACTGCTTGCATATAAATTTCCCCACAAACACTTGGTCACTAAGGACTTAATTATTGGGCCTATCTGATCTCACCTGTCTCCTCAATCCATTGACTTTGCTAACAGGATTTAGTTAAAAGACGTTGACGGTGATATATTCAAAATGCTCCCTGTTCAACCCAAGAAACTTAATGCCTGGCCCAAGTATCAATGCAGATACAAAGAAATTAACAAAATTCACTCTAACTAATTCCTATAGTAGTAGTTTGTGTTGCAATATACAGGTTGAGAACCACTGCTGCAAGTGTGTTGCATAGTGTTACAGGTGTCTAGCCCTTCCCTTTGAAATTACTGTTTTTTTCATCTATAACATTGGGGCAATGTAGAAAGTCTACCTAACTTACAGTTTCCCATTCATTATTAGTCTTCTTCTTGGGTAATTCAAAATAGTTTGTACATTTTCCAGAGAATATATAACCTGTATATATGTATAATCCAATTCATTCATGTTCACATATTGCAGGAAGACTTGGTGTGTCTCATTAATGAAGCAAAGAGTTGTTGTCGCAGATGTGTTTTTAGTTTGTAGCTGGATTACAAAAGTTATGAACCAGTCTCTTAGAGTAAGAGATATTACAACCTAGTATGATGGCCATAAAACGACAAAGCCTTTCAAAGTATATCTGTGCAATAAAAAGTGTAAATTAAATCAAACTTGCTATAAAATGAGCTTTTATTTGTTCCATATATCACATCAGTATTAGCTTATAAACATCCCCAATATAAACATTTATACCATACACAGAACATCTTTTGTAAGCCAAACTACCAATAGTTTATAATCCTAAAAATTCAACATCAACTGATAAATAATCGTCATTCAAGTTTTAAACATTTCTGCATTCCAAGTACAGTACAACCTCAAAATTCCACGCTCAAAACTATCAAATTATCAATGAAAAAAAAAAAGTTGAGTCACAACATTCCTTGCTGATCTGTGTTACCTAAACAATTTTTTTTTTTAAGTCAGTTTTGGGCATCAGGTTTGGGTAAAGATGGGATAGTCAGCACATTATCTAATATTGGAAAATACAGGCAGAAAAAAAAAACAAAGTTAAGAAAAAAAAAAAAGCATACATCTATTTTAAAAGATATTGCACTCTAATAGTAAAAACAACATTAATGCCTTTGAATCTTTGTCTTCATTCATAAATGTCTTTTTCTAATGTATCTTAAAACCAAACAGACACCCTTTACCAAGCAACCAGTTCAAGGTCAGTTTAACGAAAAATGCTTACTTTCCTCACACATCCATAAAGCAACAATAAAAAAAATAAATAAATAAAAACTTGCTCTGTCAACCAAACCTTGAGCACATGTATAAAAATCACTATATAGCACTGTTTGAGATTCAAAACAAAATAAAATAAAAAGCTAAACAATTATTTTTTAAAGTATGATAAAAAACCTGTTTACCAAGATAAAATAGAAGCTTTATAGTTATCTAACATTATAGTACATTTAAAAAAAAACTGAAAAATCCACAACCATACATACCTAATGATCAGACGACAAATTCAGATAGCTACTTGCCAATTAAACAAACTTCATGTCATATTTCTTTCAGAATAAAAATGGGCCATCACCAATTGTATTGTTGATAGCTACTGACTCATTTATGTGTAAGTCAGTGTATGTATGAGTGAGTGTGTGATTGTGAGTGTGAAATCCACAACCCATACATACCTAATGATCAGACGACAAATTCAGATAGCTACTTGCCAATTAAACAAACTTCATGTCATATTTCTTTCAGAATAAAAATGGGCCATCACCAATTGTATTGTTGATAGCTACTGACTCATTTATGTGTAAGTCAGTGTATGTATGAGTGAGTGTGTGATTGTGAGTGTGAGTGTAAGAGTGAGAGTGTTTGTGTATTGGTGTGCGTGTGTGCTATTCACACATTTCCTCACCTAGAAAAAATGTGGAACCAATATGCTAAAAAGGTGGGATGTATTTAAATCCTGATCTTGTGGCCTTTAAAAGTTTATCAGAAATACAGAGAAAAAAAAAATTGAGCTTCACACTGAATATTTATTTTGTGTTTAAAAAATTAAAAAAGAATCATTACCAGATTCACAAACATCACTTAAATATCTCCTACAGGTGTTAAAAATAATCTCAGCACCAAACTAACCGGTGAATATTTCATTTATACATATCATTCAAGTTTACTCTACTCTGTTCCAACAGAAGATCAGACCTTCAAAGGTTTAAACATTAACAATTATACAGTAAGAACTCAACAAATGTAAATGTTAAAGGAAAATCTCAAACTCAAATCCAGAGAAAACAACTGATCAAGTCACACTTTGTTCGAGACCATTGACTTTTCTCTTCTAATAGCCACCTGATGCAAAAACATTAAAATGAACATCACAACACCTACCAAATCTGAACCTGCAAACGCCATCCACTTCTTTCAATTCAGTTCCAGTTTCGTTCTGAGTTTGATAACAACTTAATAAAAATGTCGGTCACATCCATTCACCTGAAGATATATAATTCTGCGCAAGTAATTGTGTATGGTAGAACCTTAAGCCTGCTGTGTCTCAATCGGAAGATCTTATCGCCCTGCTGCAGGCTGAGCTGCTACAGGCTGAACGGGTTGATGATTGGGTGGCTGACCGGCAATAGGTTGTGCTTGCTGGCCTTGCTGAACCTGTGCCTGACCTTGGATTGGCTGCTGTTCCTGGAGCTGTCCTTGTAGGGGCTGCTGAACTTGAGGTTGGCCTTGAACAGGTTGCTGCGCCTGAAGCTGACCCTGCATGGGTTGCTGAACTTGAGGCTGACCTTGAATGGGTTGAATTTGAGGCTGACCCTGAATGGGTTGCTGAGCTTGGGGTTGACCCTGAATGGGTTGCTGCACCTGGGGTTGACCTTGTATGGGTTGTTGAGCTGGAACTTGAGCCTGGCCCTGAATGGGTTGCTGTACCTGAGGCTGACCTTGCACTGGCTGCTGCACTTGAGGTTGACTTAAGACTGGCTGCTGTGCTTGTGGCTGTGCTGGTGCCTATGAGAAAAAAAATAAATAATAAAAAAAAATAAATCAAATGTATAAATACATGTAACATATTTCTCATGCAAATGTATGAAAAAAATTCAATGTATATCAAGAACAGTTGTCCCTCTATTACCAGCATCCTTACAAACAGAACTGCAGTAAACACTAGACACACACAAGCAGGGTCAAATTCACCCCATAGTTTTGTACATTACATTTGACCATAAATTTACAAAATAGAAAACCATTTCAGTTACTAATCAATGTAATAAAAACAAAGAAGCATCTTAGCAAACACAATGCACTCAAAAGTAAATCCAATGTCTAGGGCTATACCTGCATGCAAAGTAACTTGATACTACAAGAGAACTCAAAACAAACCTGATAAGGCGCCCCATGAGGAATATATTGCACCTGCTGGGGAGGAACCTGCCCCTGTGGAACTGCCTGATACCCAGAGGGAACAGCCTGATATCCCTGAGGAACAGCCTGATACCCCTGTGGGACAGCCTGATACCCCTGGGGAATAGCCTGATACCCCTGAGGAACAGCATTGGGGTGTACCTGGGGAGGTACACCGTACTGTGGCAGAGCCTGTGGGGGCGGGATACCCTGTGCCGCAGGGTGCAGTCCTGGATGTGGACCACCCTGGTACACGGCTGGCTGGGGTGGTGGCATCCCATGGTAGCCAGGGGGGGGTGGGATCTACAGGGTGGAGAAACACCACTCTCAAATCACTGTGTCATGCAAACATGCTGAACTAATCAGCATAAATTTTAAAGTGCATGAAAACAAAAGCACACAAAAAATGGTTACATTAAAAAAAAAAAAAAAAAAAGAAACAAGAAGAAAAACATAAACAACAAAAAGCAAAAAGCTAAATGTACAATATATGCACCTTCAAAATTATTTGTGAATCCAAAAGACTTATTTCATATGTGCACTTCAAGAGCACCAAAAATCATTGCACAATCAAGCAGTTTTTGCTTCTCGTATCATCCATAAAAACTGGGATTTTTCTCTGCTTCCTTTCTCTTATGATTCCTAACTTGAAGGAGCAAAATGACAACTTTCATAAAAATAAATCATTACAAATATCAATCAGTTCTCATACTCATAATAAATAATGCATAAATACCAAACATTCTTAATAATCTGCTAAAAACTATCATGTGTAAATATAAAAAACATCTTTTCATTCTCTGACTTAATACTGGGAACAGGAAATGGTTATCTTCACATTATTAAAGAAGGTTGGTATGTGTGCAAGTGACATGGCTCCACATGGCTTATAGAGGCATGTTTTCAATCACTTTCTTTTCTCTGCCATTTTCTGCCTTATCACAGTCTGCAACTTTCCCTACTATGCTTTTTATTTTTTATTTCCTATTCTGTCATGATCGCATGACAGCTGATATACTGAACACATATAAATCAGAATACCTAAATAACTAAATCTTTTGTGCTTGAGGAACAGACTCTTCATTGACATTTTTTGAAAGTGCATTTTGAAAATTGCTTACGGCAAACACAAAGAAAAAAAAACGAACAAAACGAACAGAAACATATACTAGTAAGGTAACCCCCGAAAAAAGTCAAAAGGAGGGAACAAAAAGGAAACAAGAAAGTCGACACCGAGCTCAAAATTGTGGAATACTCACAACGCCCGACTCGACTAGCTGCCTGATCTCCTCCTGCCTCCGACGCTCAAACTCCTCGTACTCCTGCTGGGAATACATCTCCTGCTCATCCAGGCCCTGCCAGCCTCCGTCCTGCTCAAACTCTGCTTTTCTCGTCTGCTCCACAAATTCCTCGAAGCTGAAATAAATGTTTTGGTGAGACTGAATGACCATGTAAACTATCCATAATATCAAGTGA